CTATTCATAAAGTGTTTGTAAAACAGAATGAAAATAATATTTTTACAATCTATTGAAAAAAATTAAAGGAGGAAATTGAAAAGTTCATGCATTTTCAATTCCTAAATGCATTTATAAGTGTTGTTACTTTTAAATAGACCAAACCACACATATTTTGCTCTTTTTGGGTAAAAGGGAGACTATAGTCAAGTTTGATTTAATATGATATGTAGTACTCCCTCCGTCCCTAATAACTTTGCCAAGTTTAACCGGCACGAGAATTAATAAAGTAAAAACTGTGTGGTTGTGGTTTGTGCAGAGGAGAGAGAATTAACTGAAACCACAAATTCTTAAATGGAAAAGTGGCAAAGTTAATGAGACATCCAAAAAAGGAAAATTGGCAAAGTTATAAGGGACGGAGGGAAGTATGTTTTATTTTGATTTAATCTATGCTATGAAACACTTTTGTTTCATTAAGTGGTTGATATGATGAGTGTACAGAGTGTATGCTCTAACTCAGTCAGGATAGCTAAAATATACCTTCCTGATGCTTTGACTTTATTTGTGTACGAAATTTTGGGATTTGGTTCTTCATTCACTTTGTGTGCATCATATCACAACCAGTGTGACTGCTTTTATCAACTTTATAAAGAAAAAATGTCATGTAATTTTGATTATGAATCTACTTAGGGAATTGTGAGACATAGTGTACAATATTCCTTTTGTAAAACTGCATTAATGATCCGATCCTAACTTATTAACTTATTTTCTCCTTAGCTTGAAAACGATCTCACTCGCATAGACCTTACACCCTCTGGGGATTTGTAGAGGATATTTATTGATACTGAACAATGAACATGCATGAAAAAAGAAAAAAGTGTGTGAAAGACGACATTTCTATAGGTGTGACATAAACAGTAAGGGCATTTGGGTCTATCCCAAATTGTTCTTTAAGAACACCTTCTATCAGGTATCACTAGATTATCTTGATAAAAAAGGCATAATTGAGGTATGTCTCCCACTTAAAGGTGTGAAAGGCATGTAAGGTGATCAAATATCCATAGTGGCACACCTGTTTTACATAGGTTTTTCTCTTATTTTCTCACAACCAAACATTAATATTTTTTTAAATGTGCCCCCTCAAACACCCTATATATATTATAAGAGTGTCTTGGATATTGGAGAGTCCTCCATCACTAAGCACACATGATTTGAAATTTATTGTTCATTTTTAGAAGGCAGTTATGCTTGTTCAGAGCTGACATTTGAAAGATCAAAGGTAATTTTCAAATACCAAAACATCTTTTCATTTTAAAAAGATATTTGTGTTATTTATTTTTTCAAACATATTATGCAAACAATTATTACAATATAACATTTTACCGAAAATGTAATTGCTTATTTCACAAGCGTTGGGCATAAGTCGCACGTAGTGCGTACTCTGGTAAACTGTGTGTGTGTGTGTATATATATATATATATATGTATGTATGTATATATAGAGAGAGAGAGAGAAATTGGATCATATGAGAATACGATTTTATGAGAGAAATAAGAATCAATTAGAGCCATTGGATTCGAAGATTAATTCTCCTAAGTTCACTATTCATCTGGGGGCATTACTGTCATTTAATCCCGTTCTCCTTTCAAGTTACGATCCTTCCAAGTTACGATCCTTCTGCGAATCAAAAGTTTCCATAACCGTTTTTGTTTCCGATTTTACTCTGCGTCCTCGACCGTTCTTCCATATATGTGGCCTTCTCTACTTGGAAGATTTCATCATTATTTCGTCCTCAATTGTCGTTGAATATCTGACATTGAATACAACCGCCATAGTCGAATAACAAATTTGCTAACAATTTCATCTTCTCCCTATGGATCACAGTGAGTTTTTCAATTAATAACTTTCATAATTTAATCATTTTTTTTATAATAATTGCTGAGTTTATGTCGATTGATACCCTAGTACTTGTTACGCTTGTTTTCCCGATCAAACGTCTTCTATGACTATTTTTTCTATTTCGCTGCAAATCTAGTGTTGTTGTGTTGTTTGAAGGTGTTTTCTATTTTTACATTATGTTTGTTTATGGATCTACTATGTGTGAATGGTATTCAAGACGCTTAGTATAGTATTGATGAGTTGGACTGCGGTTAACTATTCGTACTGTACGGCGGGTTGTTGACGTGTCCGGTAGGTCCGGGGCGTGACATAGACAATCCCAGCCAATTTCACATGCAATCATATGCACATTTATGAGTGTAGGAAAGCTATTTAATCAGTTAATTGAGAATTCACAAAATGATGCACATTGTTCCTATGTTTAATGCAATTATTGACATTGAACAAACTGTTACACACATAGCATTCACTCCTCTGGTCCTAATGCACTTAAAATATTGTCACATGCTCTAAATATTGCACTCTAATATCAGGGTATTATTATTTTTTTAAAAGTTGACTCATGTATAGTTTGCACATTATTTCCTATGTGATACAAAAGTTGACTTATGTGCATACTTGCTATACTAAGGAGACTTATCTGAATGACACAACAGACCACTTGTTTTTTCCATCTCTTGCCTTTTCACAACTAGCCATTGCATTAATGCACCTCTTATGTCTTCAAGCATGAAAATAATGTTCTTTGCTCTAGCATTTACTATGTAACCATTAAATGTTTCAGCCATATTACTAACAATGACATCACATTTAGTGGTTGTTCTAACAAATGCTCTACAAAAACAAGCTGGGTTGTGTGATCTAAAAGCACTCACTGCAGCTGGATTAACATTTTTCATTTCTTCTAAAGCTTCCTCCAAATCAGCTTCATTATATGCCTTTGCAGCTTTCCAGAATAGCATTTTCATTTCATCACCATTGTGATTCTTATGCCAGTGTGCAAATACATGTCTGGCATAATGCCTGTGCTTAACTAAAGGGAATTCTTTGGCCACTCCCCTCAAAATGGACTGCCAAAACATACAAAATTAGGTTAGAAAATGGAAAAACAGGTTTAATATCTGGCACAATGCCTGTGCAAGGAATCCTATAAGCAATGCATAGCAAACAACACTCTCTAAGTTTTTTTTAGTTCACCTAAGAACCATTCCCAACTTGAATTGTTTTCTCCTTCCACTACTGCCCATGCTATTGGAAACATTTGATCATTGAAGTCTCTCCCCAGGGCAGACAATAGCATCCCACCTAAGAATGTTTTGATGAAACATCCATCTACACACAACACATATCTACCCTCACTCAACCATTCATCTTTAACCCCTTTAAAACACACAAAGAATCTATGAAATGTAGGAGAGAAGTTCTTTATTGTTGGGTCTGTGAAGAGCTTGAAGTGGCTGTGGGGGTTAGCTTGACTAAGAGCTTCCAAGTACCTTCCAAGTTTGTTGTAGTGTTCAGTCATACTTCCATGAAGTTTTCTATGGGCATGATACTTGACCTTATAAACAAAGTCCCTCTTCACCAGCACTTTGTAAGCTCTCCTAATAGTTTCCATGATTTCTTTTACAGGCCAGTGAGGTCTAGACTTGAACACTTCCAGAAATTGTGTTGCTACCCATGGAGCCTTTAACTGTCTATTCTTTTTCATATTTCTGTTGCAAGTGTGCTCTCCAATTACATTTTTAACAACAAAGCATGCTCTTTTACTGTCCCAACTAGCATACAGTCTAAATGCACAGCCTTCTACACATCTTGCACCTATTCTCTGTTGTCTGTCTTTGTGGCTTACATTGATTTTCAAATTTCTTCCTTGGGCAATGGAAAATCTGGCCACAACATCTTTAAACTTCTCCCTATTTTCAAATTTAATTCCAACCTTCCATTTCAGCAACTTGAAGTAAGTATTTGCATCCACCAAAGGAATTTTATCTTTCTTTGATATTGAGAGACTATCATCTGCATCACTCCCAGGAGGTGTGTGAATATCATCATCTGATTCTTCATAGTCACTCACATGTTGAGGTGCATCTTCTTCCTCATGTACTGTGTCTTTGAATCATCTAACTTGCCTTGACCTACTTCTTTTTGCAGTTGTTTGGCTATCTGCACAATATTGGAGTTCCAGCCATTCACTCTTCTTCTTGACTCTCTAAATTCCTCATCACTTGTATCTTGATCAGACCCAAAAAGTGGGACCTCTAAGTCCTCATTATCTTCATCTCCCACATCCCCTGCAGATTCAGAAGCCTCATCATCCATAACTTCATCTTCTGGTCCTTCTTGACTTCTTGAGGTGTTTGGTTGTGAAGTGGAGGTTTGTGCTGCCTTCCTTGCATTTGGTTGAGTTGCACTCAAACCTGAACTTCTTGAAGTCCATTTTATCCCCTCATTAACTCCATCTTCAGTCCCCACCCCTTCATTATCCCCACCACCTTCAAGTAGTAGCACAAATTTTGGTGAGCTGAGTCCATGTCTTATATAGGAGTCAATGATTTTATATTGCATAGCTACTTTGTACATTTCCATGACTTCATCATCAAGCTTAACCCTTTTCAAACCTTTCTCTAAACTTTGACCAGGAATCAAGTAGTAAATATCATCAATGCTGCTACATTTCCCTGACTTCATCATCAAGCATAGCTACTTTGTACATTTCCCTGTCTTCATCATCAAGCTTAACCCTTCTCAAACCTTTCTCTAAACTTTGTACATTAGCGATTGTACTATGGGCTAAAAATTTCAAGTCTTGTATGATGACATGATCTAACATGTTTAACGTACTCTTGTTTGATTGGATTATGTTTGATATTATGTTGGTAAAGTTTGTCAATTAGCTGACTTTTCAAGTCAATAGTGGTAAAGTTTAGGTCATGATTTTTATTAGTATAATATTTGGGAAGTTATAATTTTATATTTTTATGAAAATACTTTTAACGGAAAATATTTTCATATCATATTTATATTATAAATAACTTCTTATAAGAATATATAGTTCATCAAAGTTGAACCTAGTTTGATAAAAAATCAAAAACCGTAAAGTTTAAGAGACCAAGAGAATACAAGACAGATAATCAAATACATGCATAACTACATATGTCACATGATACAACCGAATGTGGAGTTCTTTCTTGATAATAGAATAAAACGCATCCACAGTACATATCACATGAAATAACCAAATCAATTTTATCATGACATTCCAAACAGTTAATCCGGTATGCATGCCAGCTTACAGAATGAAAACTTAAGATATTGTTCTATATACACATGTGACACCAAATTCAGAGTACTGTTTATTTTTTTGGTACACTCTCTTTCCAAATTCATCCAAACGCCAGCTGGTGGCATCAGTAGTACAATGATCCTGTAAAAAGTACAGAGTAAACAATCTCAATCGAACATGTCTCCTAAGTCTAATTCATACCGAACAATATTGAAGTGTATAAATGAGCCAAACAGGCCTTAACGAGCTACCATTAATTCAATCATACCACAATCAAATTTGACTCTAATACCATATTAAGACTTGAGATCATTCTAAAAAAATAAACTGATAGGAGGAATACCCCAATTAGATCTTATATATTATTTTATTACTGTATATCAATCCAGTGTGGAACAAATAATTCAACAATTATCAAATGGGCTCATAAATCATAATAACTCATTACCCCTTTTATTGTAAAACTGATTCTATTACTCATAATCTAACCAATAACCAAATACTTCCTCTGTTCTTTTTTAGTTGCAACATTCACTTTTTCACGTTTGCCAACGCAGAACTTTGACCGTCATTATATTTAATTTTGTATTAGTAAAAAATAATTAAAAATCAGATTATGAAACTTTTTAATGAGACGAATTCAAAAATAATTTCAAAAATAAATAATTCACATACATTAAAAAATAAAATGTAGTCAAAGTAGAGTACATGAACAGTGTGTAATTTGCAATATTGCAACTAATGCGATACGGAGGATAGTAGTAAACACTCAATGAGACAAAAGTGTATACATACCTAGCCACCAATCTCCTCTATTTGCAAGATTTGGGTTAAACACCCCATTTTTATCATCTTTCCCCCCATCTTTATTGAACTGCTCCAGTGAGCTTATAGTAACCGAACAGTGAGGATTGGTGATGTTAGTGGATGGGAAAGAAATATCTTGGCCTCCATAGTATAGTGATGAGCTGGAATAGTATGGTGATGTTAGCTCATCACTATAGTAAACATAACTCTTGTCCTCAAATTGTCTATGCTCATCCTCTGTAAGTTTGAACCACCCATGTGTCACTTAATTACAAGCAGTGAGCTACACAAATATAGTCATAAAAATTCCAATTGCATGTACATGTTGTTTAGACATTTCCCCAATTTTGATGTGTAGATAGACAATTTGGCTAATAAAATACAGAATTTTTTAAAATTCTTAAGCAGGTCTAATAAAAAAGTTATTTTATTTATTACAACTCCAAACTCAAAAGTTTAGCATTTGATAATAAGTTTGACTAGTTATTAAGTTGATAAATCAAAGAATTATATTACCAAACAAAATTTAAAATGTTTGATAAATCGTGTTCGCAAACCAAAGTGTTTTTTTAGGAAGCAAACCATAGTTGAAAAATGATTTTAAATCGATGCTTTTTTAAATAAAATAAAATGGTGATAACAAAAGATGCAAAACTGGATATCATATTAGCACAAAAATATTTTTGCATATTTAGGTTACGTTGGGACCTCGGTCAACAACGGTCAAGATATGATGAAAATTGACAATACAGATGATTTAGTGGGATCCACAGAACAACGCGCTCTTACAAACCTGAAGATTCAGGGTTTTGACGACCGCCTGAGTTATGCATTCTTGAAAATGGTACAACTCCATTACGGCCCATCCATTGTCCCTAATCAAAGTGGAATCAAAATTATTATGTATGAGCACACAAATTTAGAGCTATCAAAGATGAGTCCCGCTTCGTGTACACGCTGGTTTACACACCCGTTTACACGCCGGTCATATTGTCTGTGTACAGACAATTTGACCGGCTACACAGACAAATTGGCGTTTTATGAAGAAAATCGGTTTTCACACAGATAAAAAGTAAAGAGTTGTTTGTTTCACAGACATTTTAGATCAGAATTTTTCATAAAATGTCTGTGATACAGACAATTTTCTTATTTTTGTTTGTGTGAAAATCAAATTTTTTCATAAAATGCCGATCAAATTATCTGTTGTAATCAGTCAAATTGTCTATACATAAACAATTTGACCGACGTGTAACCCGGCGTCTAAAACTTGACGTATACAAAGAAATTTTCCATCAAAGATCCTTTATCCTTCCTTTGCGGCTCATATTAAATAGTGGAGTTTTGCTAGGCGTACACATAGACAAAATGTGTACACCAAGCATTTTTATCAACTTGATACGTTTTTCAAAGATAACTGTACCTTCATTTAAAAAAGTAATTAAGTAACGACAAAATATAATCTCTCCGTTCACAACTTTTTATCAACTTTACTTATTTATGTGTATCCATCATCCATGTAACACAATTTTGTCAACTTCACATACTACCTCCTTAACATAAAAATATTCTCATTTCAAAAGTAGGTAGACTAAGAATAGTGAAAGAAAATATGAATTATTGAGGGTATGTTGAGAACGAAGATAGTGGAATAATGTGATGAAATGTAGGATAAATCCAAAAAAGTATTTGTAATAATGTATTATTTTTAGAATTATTAAGGAGATAATAGGAAGATTTAGAAATGAGAAGATTTCTTTGTTACGGAGAGAGTACTTTGTATCAAAATACTTTAGTATACTTTGTTATTTAGATTGTGATAAATATGTAGATAAATTTATTTATATTTTATAGGCAAAACTTAATTACATAAATTTTACTTTATTCTATGTGCAAATCAAATTTGTCATGTTTTCCGGGTCAAAGAGTATTAAATTGACTATGAGCTCGTTTAGTAACCTATATATTTAGCTCCTGAATTAAATTGACTCCGGGGTTATTTATACACAAAGTTATTGACTTTTTAATTTTGTGCGCTGCATTCTGTGATAATTGAAATAAGTACGGTTAGAGTTACTTTCATGTCTAAATTGGCTCAAGTTATAAAATATATTCATTAATATGGCTCTAAAAATCAGTTGATTCAGACAATTCAACCGCTTAAGTTAGAATATCATCTATTTCATTCGACCAAATTATTATCATATGGGCCATCTGGCTCTATATATAGGGCTTACATTTATCAAAAATGATGTTTGTACCCACTCTCATATCCACTTTTGTACCCACTTATGTTTGTGAAGTGTTTTTTTTCTGTGAACCCTAGTTCACAGACAATATTTTGCACAAACAAAATATTGTCTTTGATTCGGGTTCACAGACAAAAAACACTTCATAAATATGGTGGGTATAAGGTGGGTATACAAGTAGGTACATCAAACATTGTTCTACATTTATTTACGTTTTGTTTGTTACTTTGTTCTCCCTAGCTAGCTTCCAAAATACTTGTTGAGTCCATTGGTTTCCAGTTTTTGCGAGTTACCGTAGTGTGGTAGTAAATAATTTAGTGTATTTTCAATGTATGACCATTTTAATTACTTACCAAAGTTTAAGTTTTTAAAACAAAAACAAACAAAATGATCTAAGATGTGAGTAGTAGTGTAGTACCGTAGTCGGAGGAAGATTTGAGTGGTCGTTTAGAGGACCAAAGAGATCGGTTATAAAGGAAGAAGATGATGATGTTGGTATAGGACAACCCCCAGGTTGCTGCTTGTAGCTCTGGCCGTTACTCTTCTCCATTTTATGGGGTACCCTTAGTAATTAAGGTATCCAAACTGACTTGGGTGGGGGTGGGGGGAGCAAGCTGAATGTGAAGAATGAGAAGATCGACGTTGTCTATTTATCGGCCTCTTTTCACAAGGAGGTCGCTTCTCGGTGACTTCACAAGATTGAAATTTTTTTCCTTGGTTTTTACATCATTGAAAACTTTCCACTTTAATGACTAGATAGTCAAGGGATATATTACATGTGTATACAAGTCGTTTTCAAGGTGATTAGATAATTCTTAAGTAATTTTTACGTAAAATATACTTCTATACGTAGTAACTAATATAACAAGTCCTTTTCAAGATGATTAGATAATTAGCTTATGAATGAAATTCTAACAAAACTAGCACAATAATCATGCATACGTATACGCATACGCACGCGGAAAAACAGGTAGTCTATATGTAATTTTATTAACGATCTAATCAGATACAAAAAATAGTTTTTTCAAACGATTTACATCATATAAAGTACAGAATACGGCCCGTGAACATAAAAAAGCATAAATGCATGCAACAAATACTCAAAGTAAAATAAAATTAAAATATATATAAAAATCGACATCATCCATTAGAATTTGCTACGTAATACTGCCTTCAATTCGCCCTTTTATTTAGTCAAACACTATTTTTCAAGTCAAAATTAAACAACTTTGACCGACTATATATTTATACACGGTAATATTGGTAATATGAAAATTATATCAAAATGTTCTTTGTTAAAAATACAACCATAAAAGTACAAATTTATTAAGTTTCACATAAGTATATAAGCTAAAATAATGAGAACTTCTTCTTGTACACACTTTAATACCCACCATGTCTGTGAGGAATTTTTTCTTGTCTGTGAATCGGATTCACAGAAAGAATAATTTGCATAGACATATTTTGTTTGTGACCTGGATTCACAGACAAAGAAAAAATTCATCACAAACATCATGGGTACAAAAGTGGGTATAAGAGTTGGTACAAAAAGTTTTTTTGTACCCAAAAAATGTATCAAAAGGTGTTTAAATGAATTGGGAGCATCTTTGGATTTGGGATATTTATTTGGACTGAAAGTTATTGTTCTGGTCTGGTCTGTTTAAATCTAGTTCGGTCTGGTCTGGTCTGGTTTGATCTAGTCTGACATGGGCACATGGTCTGGTAAATGTCTGATCTCTGCGTATTTTATAATTAAGAAATTCATGTTTGATCTAGTCCGATATGTTTAAGTCTGGTCTGATTTTATCTATTTAAGTTTAGTCTGGTGTGATTTGAGATTGAAAACCGTTCAAATAAAAACATCTTTATTGCCTTAATTCACATTTCCTAAAAAAAATAGATTCAAACAACAATGATGTAAAACAACAATGACAGTGACAGTGACATGTTGAATCGATCGTGACATTAGAAAAATTGTCGGTGTTATAAACTGCTTAAGAGGGTGTTTGGGACTAATTCTGCTTTTGCTTCTTTTTTAAAGTAGAAGCAAAATCAGTTTTTAGAAGCTGGTCTCCCCAACTTCTAAAAAACTGATTCAAGGAGCAAATTAGAGCACGAAAATCACTTCTTCACTTTCACCCAAACAATCCAAATTCTGCTTCTGCTCCCTGAAGGAGCGGAAGCAGTTTAAGAATTAGATCCAAACAACCCTAAGATGAGTACTATATGTACATTCATGTTTTAAAAACACATCTGAAACAATTGTTACTTTTTGTTAGAATTTCATTAATAAAAGAATTATCTAATCATCTTGAAAAGGACTTGTTATTACGGAGTATTAGTTATTATTTTATGTATAAAATTGCTTAAAAATTATCTAATCATCTTGACAACGACTTGTATGACATATGTTAATATGTAATATATCCCTGGACTATCTAGTCATTAAAGTGGAAAAAAATTCAATGAAGTAAAAACCAAGGGGGGAATTTTCAAATTAGGAAGTCACCAAGAAGCGACATCCGATCCTTGTGAAAAGAGATCGATATTATTATTTTATGCATAAAATTGGTTAAGAATTATCTAATCATTTTGAAAACGACTCGTATGACATATGTTAATATGTAATATATCCCTCGACTATCTAGTCATTACGGTGGAAAAAATTTCAATGAAGGAATAAGTACTTTGTTATTTGTCATTTGATTTTTTCATGCATGGTAAGACTTTGAGTTTGGATTGAGGTGATAGGAGGTCTGTGCTTTTGGTCTTTGGCTATTGTGCTAGGGATTCCTCTGTCATTCATTAGATTATGGTTTAGATTGTCATATAGGCTCATTGATCTGGAATTGGACTTTTTTCATTCCATGATCCTAAAAACTAGTTGGCTAACAATCATAGATTTGAAAGACTCTCACTATAAGTCTTAAAAATTCATATGTTTATATTTCTAAATGTGTATTTATTTTTATATTAATTTCGGTGAATTTCATTCACCAAAATTGTATGAGTTTTTATAAAACAAAGAAATTTTAAATCACTAAAATACTATAAATATACAAGCTTTAGTTTGGTACTACGTATTTATCAATCATTTGGATTCTAATATAAATATATAGGTCTTACTCTTTAGAACTCTAGTTGGGATCTTATAAAACAAATCTCAAGGAATTTTAGGGCTAGATCGATTTTTTCCCCTAGGGGGGTCAGGGATTGGGGTTAACTCGGATCAAACTCACTTAATGGAGTTCTGAACGCGGGAGCTCCCATGCATATGGAACTATGAGAGATTGAGTCGGTGATCAACTAAACTGAACTGCTTTCTCTAGGGCTAGATTTACAATTTTAGTTATTTCAATCCCTATAAATCGACAATCAACTACTGTTTTGGGTTAAAAAATCTGAAATGTTTAAACTATGGCAAATCCAGAATGTGTTCGAGTGCACCTCCTTTGAGTATTGTAAATCTTCCAGGTAATGGTTTACTTTATTGATCAACTATATTTATTTTTTAAAACACAAACATGGTCTAGTATAAAACATAAAGAGATTGGCTATTTATATAGGGAGACCTGGACAAAATAAAAGGATAATTGCAACGATAGGAGTTTAAAGTTTAAATTCTCAAAATAGGACTAAATCTTCCTATTCTACCCTTTCCCTTGCCCTTCCTGATAGGATTTTTAAAATAATCATTATAAAACAAAAAACAATTAAAAATAGTAAAAAATAAATAAAAAGTATACAGACCTCAACCACCACCTCAACCACCTTCCAGCACTGTCATATCCGGTCGCCGGAAAAGATTGCAAAGTTGGAGGGAAAATGTCATCGTGATGGCAATTTTGAAAAGTAAATTGGATGTTTTCAAAGAGTAAAAATATATGTCATCTTCATGACATTTTCAGAGAAATGTGGTAATTTATACACAAGATGACATTTTTTTTCACCGGCGATAGCAGGTGGTGGTGCTACGAGGTGGAAAATGTGGAGGTAGTGGTCTACATATTTTTTTTAAGTATTTTATTTGTTTAGATTTTCTTTAGATTTTTTTAAGTTTTTTTAAAAAAAAAAATTATCCCCCCCCCCCTTATCAATTCATAAATATTTTTATGATTTTTGATTTTTTTATTATACTCCCTCCGTCCCGGAAAATTGTTCCCGCATTGACTTGGAACGGAGTTTAAGAAAGTGGGAATAAAGTGGAAATGTATGGTTGTGGTTGAGTAAGAAAAAGGTAAATGAATTGTAGCCACAAAAAACTTTCTAAAAGGGGAAAGGGGAACAATTTTTTGGGACGGCCTAAAAAGGAAACACGGAACAATTTTCAGGGACGGAGGGAGTAAATAAAATTATGATCTTTTTATTAATAAATTAATCTATTAGAAATTATAGGTTGGGAGTAGAATAGGAAAAAGGGACATATATTACTCATACCTTGGGAATAAAAGAAGTATATTCTTGGGCTACTTCTAGTCTAATAGCCGGTTTATATATAGTCTAACAAGCTTTATGTATAAAATAATTTGGAGAAAATGGGCAAATAAGCCCTCGAACTAATAAAAAAAGTACAAATAAACCCTTATATAGGAGACTCAGTCCGGCTATCGTCATTTGAGCAGTTTCCCGGTGGAATTTTTTAATAATTTTTTTGAGCATCTTCTTTATTAAATCTAGTTTAGTCATACCAAATTTCAGCTAAAAATTCAACCGGGAAAGTGGTCAAATGATTTTTTGAAATATGTTGCGCTGTAAAACTGTGCAATTATCGCTGAAATTTGGTATGACTAAACTAGACTTAATGAAGAAAATGCTCAAAAAAATTTATCAAAAAATTCCACCGGGAACCTCCCCAAATGACAAAGGGCGGACAGAACCTCTTATATTAGGGCCTATTTGCATTTTTTGGTTAGTTTGAGGGCTTATTTGTCCCTTTTCCCAATAATTTGTTGCACATTGCTTGATACATACTTCTCTTGTTCCTAATTAATTTCAAATATGTTATGTTCTATTAGAAAACATAAAAAGATTGGCAATTTATATATAGTCTAACAAGCTTTATATATAAAATAATTTAATGTAATTGTTGCAATACATTTTTTATATGCATTTCCTGATACATACTTCTCTTGTTCTTAATTAATTTCACTCTCCTCCATATAAATATATATTAATCACATATTTTATATATTCTTAAAAGTGTGACAAGTCAAAGTGGGTTTAAATTGTTTTGAATAGAAAAGGCTTATATTAAAATCTCAGAAATTCGCTTATGTCGACTATAAAAGATATAATCAATCCAGTCACAAACCATAAAATTAAGCATACAATCATCCTTAAACCGATACAGTGACTCATTGTCTCATTAACCTCACAACAGGCAACTTGGCTTCCATAATGACCAAATAGATGTTCCTGCAGCCCAACTTAATAAATTAATGCCTCCTGCTAATCTATCTCTATATAAAAAGAGGTGGAATTCAGACCATTTCTCCCGCTCAAAAATGTCACCATCAAGGATAATAAAGTAATGTATACCGCTGGAGTAGAAACAAGTCGATGCTTTATTGCTTTCTCATTCTTATTACGGAGTACAAGACAGGGGATGAAAAGGGCATAAAAGCAGAGTGACCTGGTCAAAGTAATAAGGCTAGGGTACCAGTAGTGCAGTGCATTGGAACTCTAAATGTTTTATGGTCATGTCATTTGAAAAGTGAAGAAACGAGAGGAAAGTCTTGATTTAATCGCATCTTTATAACCTCCCCTAAACTCCTCTCTCATGGGTCTTGAGAGTGTGAGATAAGATTGAGTTCGCCGAGTGACAAAGGAAGCTACAGTAGGCGGTGGCCGTCTTGGACTGCATGATGCGATCAATAGTTCAGTTGGGCTGCCTTGGCGAGTTAGCGGGCTGCTGGGATGACGCAGGCGGCTGATGCCACGCAGTTGATGGTGGACACTGGACAGCAAGGGATGGGAGACCGGAGACATGGTGAGTGGCGGACGGATGGAGTCATTGAGGCTTGCAGACTTCACCAAGAAGAAGAGAGGCATGGTGAAAATATTTTTGGACTAGCCCTAACGGTAAATCTGTAACTATTTTTCGGAGTAAATAGATTTCCTCATACTCTGGAATGTCCGGTGAGTTGTTGCTTTGCTTAACAACTACATGGGCAATCTATATACATGAGTAGATCCGAATATGGTTGTGTGATATACAAGTATATTATATGTGTGTGTATTAATTTGTGTGTGGGTGTATATATCATTGCTCCCCAGTAAGGAGGATTTAAATGCAGACTATTTTGGCTGGGATTTAGGATTGATTTGGACAAATCGAAGGACCAAAGTGAAAGTGGATGGTTGGGGCCTTGGGGGTATCAGGGTATGATTTCGACCAAGAGAGCAGGAAAAATGGAAGTCTGTATATGTTTTAATGGACTCGAAACAGGGCTAGATGAAACGTTTTAATTCATACTCCGTATGTACTACTCCGTATATAAAGTGACACATACAGTATATTTGCACCGTTTTCATTCTTGAATCTACAATGTACGATAATACGGAGTATATTTGCACCGTTTTCATTCTTTTTCTCTTGCAAATGTAGAACATATTAAAACAGTATTCACTTACGGAGTATGAAATACTCCAATTTCGCCGTATAAATTTTGCCTCACTTTTACGTAGTATATGACTACATCGTTGTTGTGAATTACAGAGTATTCTTAATGTAACTTATGGTCCTTTATTAATAGGTAATACGGAGTAGTAAGTGTATACAAAATTGTGTGATTATAAATCTCAAATTAAATGACTTAAACAATTAAAATAATTCAGTAACTTCAGTAAAAATCTCAAATAAGTAACTCAGGTTTTATTTATTTTGATAATAATTATGTAACTCGACATTCTCAATAAAATTTACATGCTTGGAAACAATGAATAAAATCAAGGGACGGTAGAAGATGAGAAATGGAATGATTAAAGATTATAAAATGTAAGTTAATGTTTTTTGAGAGGAAAGGGTCAAACAAGGTCTTCTACTATTATGAACCGTCACATAAGACCATATACTCAATAAAGTGTCATATAAATACATCTACTTATAAAAAGCAATCAGATGAGTTCAACTTATCTGTTAACAACCTCCTAATCACGACTTTAGCTCACATTCCATTTAAGTCAACCATAGCTAAACATTTCACAACAATCATAGAACATATATTTTAAAAGGGTAGTTAGATGTACGCCAAAATTAGGACTATGAGGTTGTCAAAAGGTCATTTTGACTCATTCGATTGCTTTTTATAAGTAGACTTATTTATATGACACTTTATTGAGTACATAGTCTTATATGACGATTGCATAATAGTAGAAAGTCTTATTTGAACCTTTTCTTTTTTTTAATATAAAATAATCTGAACATGGATGCTCACAGGTTAATTCAGATATTTAATTCTATAAATTTGCGTATCTTCTTACATCGAATTACATAAGTATAAAACGGTTGAATACACAGATAATTCCTTAAATAAGAGTAAATTGCTGCCAAATTTGACATTACTAAGTTTTAAACCTTGCATTTTTCAAACTTGACAGATTACTCATATTCAAGAAATAAAACACAACATAGTCCTATTTTTATTTATTGCAATTTGTTTTTATATGGGTCGTAAGGGTCACTCGAACAACACATAATTATACGGAGGAGAATGCGTTGTGTACACAACCGGTTACACAACCGGTTACACAGCACAAAAAGGCCCACCCCTCCCCTTTTCCACGGTATTATCTCTCCCTTCCCTCTTTCCTGCTTTTCCTTTTTTCCTCTTCTTCCCTGCGCCTAACTCTCTTCTCCCTCTTTTCCTCTTTTCTTTTTTTCGTTTCTCTCCCTCCCAGGCCTAACTTTCTTTTCCCTCTTTTCCTCTTTTCATTTTCGTTTCTCTCCCTCCCTCCACCCAACTTTCTTCTCCCTCTTTTCCTCTTTGCTTCTCCCTCATACTTCGTATATAACTCTCTCTTTATCTCCCTTTCTCCATCTTTTTTCTCTTCTCTTCTTGTTTTCTTCATCTCAAAACCTCTCACTTTTTTTTGCAGATCTAAATCCGCACAGAAAAATAGGAATCACAACTTCAATCTACCTTGCTCTCTCAAATATTATTCATGAGGTAATACTTTATTTCATCTTTTTTGTGCATCTAGGGTATATATATATTCCCTTTTTAATTTTGTATATCACATATGTTGTTATGATATGTTGTTATGATGTTGAATACTAGTACTTATTACACTGTTATACTAAATAGATTGTGATGTTTATCATTTAAAATTTTGTTTGTATCACATATAAAATACAAAAATTTCTCTGTTAAATTGATTTTCACAGACAAATTGTAAAGATTTGTCTGTATCGCAGACATTTTAGATTAGATTTTTTCATAAAGTGTCTGTGATACACACAATTTTTTTAATTTTTGTCTGTGCGAAAATTGATTTTCTTCATAAATCGCCACTCAATTTGCCTGTGTAGCCGGTCAAATTGTCTGTGTACAAACAATTATGTGAATGCATCTTGTAAAGAAGTACGTCATAGAACTTCTTTATTATAAAGTATATGTGATACAGACAATTTTTTATTTTTTCTGTGTGAAAAACGTTTTTCTTCATAAATCGCCACTCAATTTGCCTGTGTAGCCGGTCACATTGTCTGTGTACAGACAATTATGTGAATGCCCATGCATCTTGTAAACTATCAGTAACTTGTGTATGTCTTCTCTATGACTTCTTTATTGATGGGGTTTGAATATTACGTAGTACTTGTTTATTGTCAAGTTAATGTATCATTTAAATTAAATGTATTTTAACTAAAAGGAGCTTTAACCATGTTACTGCTTCAGGGACATCTTCTAACTCTTCGTGACCAATACTAGTATCTTGAAGGCCCGTGATTGAGAACTATGTCTCTTTTCGAATCGGGAGCAAGACAGGTGATATTTCTAATCGTGGCATGAAATGGATTCAGAAGATCAAGATTGAGAGATTTAAAGCAAATGATAATTACATACTTTGTTTTTGTAATTAGTTGTTTGTATTTGTTTTGATATTTAATTGTTTGTCATTTGTTTATTAGTTGTCTGTATATATTTTGAGTTGTCAGTAATGACTTGTGTGTCATGTTATTGTGAGTTGTCTGTAAGAGTCGGGAAGTTGTCTGTAACTCATATTTAGTTGTTTGTCATTTCATTGTGAGTTGTATGTAATTTGTGGGTTGTCTATTGTCTGTCTAGTTATACGTATTGTCTGTCTTTTTTATGAAGCCTGTGCCAAAATGGTATTCACAATAAAGTAATGTATGTATGTGTATACTTATTGTCTGTATGTGTACACTTAATGTCTGTCTCGTAATACTAATAACATCTCAAAAATAAACATCACAAATTACATACAGACAACTCAAAACGAAAACAAAAATTAACCATCAATTACAGACACATAGACAAAACTTCACGAGTCTTTATAACAAATACAGACATTGCACTTACAAATTTTGTTTCAAGTATATCTCTAACAAATTGTGATCGGGTGAATAACGGTTTTTTATGTTCAGGGTCCTAATTTCGTTTGTCTTAGTCTGTGGCTAAGACAATTTTTTTGTATTCATTTAAAAAAATATAAAATAATAGTTTGAACACTGACACGAATAACTTATTTCAACATATATACCTATTAAGGTAAAAAGAATATTTATACAAACAATTATGGTTTGAACAATTATGCACACATAATATAAATGAACAATTTTTGTTTGTACACAAACAAAAACTTTATTGAAATTGTCTGCACACAGACAAAATAAGCTTGTTTAAAAATTATCTGTATACCAATAATTGGTTAAAGCTTATCTTTACAAATACACTTAGAAACAAATTATATTTGTCCGTGACCAAAAAAGAAAGTTTAAATACACTATCATATTAATACAAGATATATAACTGTGCTACAAACAACTAATTACAAAAACAAAGTATGTAATTATCATTTGCTTTAAATCTCTCAATCTTGATCTTCTGAATCCATTTCATGCCACGATTAGAAATATCACCTCTCTTGCTCCCGATTCGAAAAGAGACATAGTTCTCAATCACAGGCCTTCAAGATACTAGTATTGGTCACGAAGAGTTAGAAATTGTCCCTGAAGCAGTAACATGGTTAAAGCTCGAATTTTTACCCTTAATAGGACTAAATTGTTCCTGAAATTCCTTAATAGGACTACCTATAATTTTATTCCCTAAATAGGACTAGATTACCTATTTGCCCCTATTTTTTGCTTTTTCCCTACGCATACCATCGAGCACAGGCGTTGGGCATCATAACTCCCTGCAAAATTGCTTTTTGCTTTTTTGATTTAACTTTGCCATGCGCATCTTATTAACTCCCTTGCCATCTTATCCATCTGCCGCACAACTTCTCCATCCGTTGGGCATCTTCTTCTTCATCTGCTGGACATCTTCTTCTCTTAGCTTCACAAAGAAACAGCCGAACCAAGATCCCAGTCATAACCATCGCCGCAGTCATCACAAAGTCCACTGCCGCCGTCCGCCGCCGTAGATCAGGTTTTCTTCTCCGCAGATCTGCATCTTCTTCGATTATCCTCCTCGTCCTTCTTCCTCTCTTCTATTAAGTTACAGTTGTTAATTGAAACTAAAAATGCCAGGTTAAACTCTGAAAATGCCATTAAAATGGCATTCTCATTCATTAAAAAATGTATTTTCCTTTGAAAATGCCATTAAAATGGCATTCTCATTCATAAAAAAATCGTATTTTCCTTTGAAAATGCCATTAAAATGGCATTCTCATTCATAAAAAAAATCGTATTATCCTTTGAAAATGCCATTAAAATGGCATTCTCAATTTATGTTAGGCATTTTGATGAAGATATTGGCATTTTTGTTGACAACGACAAGATCTGCAACGGTGGAGGCCATATTGTAGAGGCAGACGTTGGATTAGCTACGATGGTGGTCGGATCTGCAGGGCAGTGGCCGTCAGCGGCAGAGACTAGAGATTTGGTCAGATCTCCGGCGGCGGCCGCCAGATCTGCAGCGGCGAGAGCCAGATCTGCAATGGCGGCGTCCTGATCTACAGTGGCGGCCAATTTTAAGGCGGCGGCGTGACCGGCGACCGGCGTGACCGGCGACCGGCGGCGATGGACGGCGACCGGCGGCTATTGGCGGTGGTCCAGTTTCTGCTTGGTGGAAGTGTGATTTTCAGACTTCATGGGTGTTTTTGTCAAATTATAAATAATAACTCCTATTTAGGTCATTTTTAAACTTTAGTCCTATTTTAACAATTAAAGATTGATTTAGTCCTATTTAGGTAAATACCTCTTAAAGCTCCTTTTAGTTAAAATACATTTAATTTAAATGATACATTAACTTGACAATAAACAAGTACTATGTAATATTCAAACCCCATCAATAAAGAAGTCATATAGAAGACATACACATCCTACTGGTAGTTTACAAGATGCATCACATAATTGTCTGTACACAGACAATTTGACCGGCTACACAGGCAAATTGAGTGGCGATATATGAAGAAAATCGTTTTTCACACAGACAAAAATAAAAAGTTGTCTGTATCACAGATACTTTATAATAAAGAAGTCGTATGACTTCTTTAAAAGATGCATTCACATAATTGTCTGTACACAGACAATTTGACCGGCTACACAAGCAAATTGAGTGGCGATTTATGAAGAAAATCGTTTTTCACACAGACACAAATACAAAAATTGTTTGTATCACAGATAGTTTATAATAAAGAAGTCCTATGACTTCTTTACAAGATGCATTCCCATAATTGTCTGTACACAGACAATTTGACCGGCTACACAGGCAAATTAACTGGCGATTTATGAAGAAAATCGTTTTTCACATAGACAAAAATAAAAAATTGTTTCTATCACAAATACTTTATAATAAAGAAGTCCTAGGACTTCCTTACAAGATGCATTCACATAATTGTTTGTACACAGACAATTTGACCGGCTACACAGGCAAATTGAGTGGCGATTTATGAAGAAAATCGATTTTCGCACAGACAAAAATTAAAAAATTGTCTGTATCACAGACACTTTATGAAAAAATCTAATCTAAAATGTCTGCGATACAGACAAATCTTTACAATTTGTCTGTGAAAATCAATTTAACAGAGAAATTTTTGTATTTTATATGTGATACAAACAAAATTTTAAATGATAAACATCACAATCTATTTAGTATAACAATGTAATAAGTACTAGTATTCAACATCATAACAACATATCATAACAACATATGTGATATACAAAATTAAAAAGGGAATATATATATATACCCTAGATGCACAAAAAAGATGAAATAAAGTATTACCTCATGAATAATATTTGAGAGAGCAAGGTAGATTGAAGTTGTGACTCCTATTTTTCTGTGTGGATTTAGATCTGCAAAAAAAAAAGTGAGAGGTTTTGAGATGAAGAAAACAAGAAAAGAAAAGAAAAAAGATGGAGAAAGGGAGATAAAGAGAGAGTTATATACGAAGTATGAGGGAGAAGCAAAGAGGAAAAGAGGGAGAAGAAAGTTGGGTGGAGGGAGGGAGAGAAACGAAAATGAAAAGAGGAAAAGAGGGAAAAGAAAGTTAGGCCTGGGAGGGAGAGAAACGAAAAAAAGAAAAGAGGAAAAGAGGGAGAAGAGAGTTAGGCGCAGGGAAGAAGAGGAAAAAAGGAAAAGCAGGAAAGAGGGAAGGGAGAGATAATACCGTGGAAAAGGGGAGGGGTGGGCCTTTTTGTGCTGTGTAACCGGTTGTGTAAACGGTTGTGTACACAACGCATTCTCCTTATACGGATATTTGATGTTGACTATTCATTTTTTTGACAGTAGCAATTTTCAATGCATGTTTCAATTCCAATGTTGGCCCATCTCCCCACGAAATCACTGCACTATTCCAGCCTTTTAGTATTTCAATGAGTCAAAATAATTTAAAAGTATTGTAACACATTTAGTACTCGGTGGTTAATAACGCAAATACTCCGTACTGCGTAGTGTTAAAAATTTAGACGTGGTTTGTAAATACTTTTTTTCGGCTTATCAACCCTAATTATCAATCAACTTTTTCATCAAAAGCGTAAGTTTTGCTTTCGCGCGTTGAGTTATATAATATACAGAAAAAGTAAGTTTGGTGTTACTTTTCTGGCCGTATTGGCTGAAGCTACTTTTAGGTTTACAAAAATAATTTAATTAAAATTCGTTAGCTAAACGTAGGTTTAAACGTAGCTAGTGATGTGTTAATTATGTTATATTAGTTAGCTAAACGTGGGTTTAAACGTAGTGATGCATTAAAAGAGGACGGAATGAACTAGTTAAATTTAGTTAAATTTAACTAAATGAATTAGTTAAATTTAGTTAAACGTATGTTTAATTTAAATGTAGTGTTAATAAATTACTTAAATTTTTTTTAATATTAGTTAAATTTAAGTATTAGGTAATTACTTATATTTTGTGAATTATTGTTGTGAATTGTGTGCATTTCATTTAATTTAGTGAAAATTAGTTAGTTGATTATTTAGTGAAATAACTCACTTAAAATTTGTTAGTATTATTGTTAGTATTTGAACGTGTATACTTTTTTATTATAATATTCAGGCATAATGTATAAACAAAATAGAAGTTGGATGTATGATAAAGATGCGGTATTGTACGGAATGCAATCAAATTTTCTCGAGGGAGTTGGGGAATTTATTGAATTTGCACTTGAACATCCGGCTTATATGAGTGGTGATAAAATAAGATGTCCATGTTCAAAGTGTAAAAATCTCAAATTTAAAGACCCACACGAAGTTGGGTATGATTTGTACGCGGTCGGTTTTGTTCCCAATTATTATAATTGGACTTCTCACGGCGAACCTTTGGATCCATCTGTTATACCACAAACGGTAGGTTCGTCTCGTTACGTCCCTCCAGAGATGAGTGCGTGGGGAGACCGTGCTGAAATGAGGTGGGACCAACAAATGGTATATGACGCATACGGTGTACCGATGTCTCAGTTCAACCCCCCACAACCACCTAACGACCCCCCTGAAGCCTCAACCTCGTATCAACCAGATGCGGATGAAAATCCGACATTTTATCAACCTTATGTGGATGAAGGTTTGGCTGAGAGATTTCAGGATGTTCTAAAAGCTGCCGACCAACCTCTGTATGCTGATTGTGAGGGATACTCTCAGCTATCCGCCGTTACTGAATTCATGAACATAAAAGCCGAATACAGTCTCCCTGAAACTTGCATGAATAGAGTCTTGCAGTCAGTAGGAGGGATGCTACCGCGAGATCATACCCTTCCGGATTCA